TGCACAGGAGAAGGTTTAAAAGGTCCCATTGTGGTTAGGTGCCAGGCTGTGCATTTACAGCTTCACGGGGCAGTGTGATTCTGCCCTTTTGTACCCCAGCTGTGTATTTCCCACCCTGGCTGGCTGGTCAGCTGGCCACCCAGGTTCTTCCCTATTGAGGCTGAGTGAGGGCAATTCAATGTGTTCTTTTCTTCACTCCTCCAAAGGACTAGAAAATTAGCTCAGAAGACTTCTTCCTTTCTTTCCCCTAATTGGACAGAACTACCCTGGCTCGTGCAGACACCCGCATTGCTGCAGTGAATGCCCTCTCCCAGCTCCCCCTTGATCATGGTCTTTGGACAGCAACATCATTACATGCAGGCCCTGCTGCCAGCCACTTGCTATTTAATGAAGGCTGTTCATGTCCTAGAAAGACTGTGGCTGCTGCCACCCTGTTAACTTCAGCAGATCTGGCTTTTTTGGCAATGCTGAGAGCATGAGGTCAAGGAGAGCAGGGACATCCTTTGATGGCTCAAGGTTAAGGCACCAGGGGACACAAGGGTCAGCTGAGATGTAAGGAAGTCCAGGGTGTCACAGAGATTCCTTGGAGCTGCTGAGCTTGTTCCCAGGGGATGACACTAATTGGTCTTGGCATGTTGTGTAAACAGAGAGGAAGTAAAGGGTCCATCCTCCAGTGCTGCTTAGTGGGACTGCCTAGAGCTCCTTTGAAATCTACTTTCAGCAGCTTGAGAAGTCAGAGTGTAGCATTTGCAGGGAGAGAGATCATAAGAGATCTCTCTCAGAGAAGAGCAACTGTGGGTTGACACCATGAGCAATCCCAAATTGTCTTCATTTATGTGTGGGTAGGTGGCTGGTAAGGAAAGAATCATTTTAAAGTACAAGGCAGAGAGTTTGGGTACATGGGTATATTTCCAGTTACGCTGTGAAGTCACTAGGTAGTTCTGAGCAAGTTGTGAAACTTTTCTGCTGTGGTTTGCCTACATGCATGAGTAGATAATATTAATGCCGTTGTCTTATGGAGGCTTAATGCATTATTTAAAATGCTTTGAGATACTAGGATGAAAAAGGCCAGCACAAAAGAGAAAAACACATCCTGTGCTAACATTTGGATTTCTCACTGCAGACGCTGCATCCCTTTGGAGGGTGAGTAGTTTCAGTGCATGATGAGTAAGTGGAACTTCATCTTGGCTTGACACTGAAAGTGGCCTGAGTACAGTGTGAGCCCTGATTTGGGCTTAGCTGTGTAATATCAAGCCCAACAGTCCTTCTGCTGAATATTTGCATACTGGCATTTTGGTGGGACTGGGCCTGGTAGGGCGATCGACACTGAAAGCTTTGTTTGGGCTCATACTGGTTGCACAGAGGCTGCAGGACGGCACTTGCCTCACGTGACCGAGGAGCAGTGTGTGACCCCTGGATTGCTGGGGTCTGGACTTTGGGCTGCTAATGGCTCTGGGGTGAGATTTCCATATCCTTAGCACAGCTGGGCTTTGCCCTTGCCTGTCTCTCCAGGACTTGACAAATAGCTTCCAGATAGAGAACATGTGAGCTCGTGAGTCCTTTTCACCTCTCGGCCTCCCATTTGAAACCAGGCTTTGTCAGTTCCTGAAAATTGTTATCATATGTTTGCCTGTCTGAGCTTGCCTCTGTGCCAAGGGGGTGCCGGAAAACCCCCTTGGTGCTGGTGGTAGTTTCATCACTGTTTCTGCCCTGGGCCTTGCTCTCCAGAGTGTCTGAGCGAAGTTCAGGGGCCTGTGCTGAGCATATGGCTTAGACCATTTCTTAAGAGGCCCAGTGCCAGAACTTGTCTCTACCAGGTGTGAAAAGTTGAGCCATAGCAGTTCTTTGTCCCTGGGTGCAGTAGAATGCTTATTGAAGCAATATAATAAGGAAACTGTTGCAGAAACCGATTGCGCCATTACAGAATGAGAAATCCTTCTTCTGGTAACCTCCTGCAATTTTGCTTTTATTTTTCACCCCCAGAAATATTCTACAGCAGCTGTTCCTCCAGCACAAGAAGCCCCTGTCTATCTCACCCCTGCCAGCATTTGGCACTGAAGTAACCAGCAAA